CCATTCTGGGGGCCTGCCGAACATCATGCATGACTGCCCGCTACTTACCCAGAGCGTAGGCACCAACGTCCTATCTGGACTCACATTACGGGGTAGAGCACAGGAGGAGGGGGGAGGGAAGAAGAGGGAGGGGGGAAGGCGAGGAGTAGCTCGAGGAGAAAGGAGGAGGCGGAGGAGGAGGAGGAGGACCAGTGTAAATCCAAGACTCATTAACAATGTTCGAATGGACCCTTCCGTCAAGCTCCCTCTTCATAGGTCCTTGCACGGTTTCATTTCCACTGGAGGATATGCCCCGTTGGGAGACAACCATTTGAAGATCCTGAAGCGTGCCACAACACCGTTCTCGGGACTCCAACGCCAGGAATCAAGGTGACTGCTGCGTCTGGACGATCGAGAATCGCGCCAGAACGCCATTCGTGGGACTTCGACACCGCGAATCAGTGTGACTGCTGCGGCCTCACAATCCTGAGTCGCTACCAGATGCCATTTCTGGTACGTTGACCATGGAATTCCGTGAAACTCTCGCAAACGTTTACAAATAATGTTCGGCGCCGAAGCGAGAGCCACATTCTGAAAACGAGCCGCTCTCAATCCGCGAAGCTCTTGCAATCGAAAAGCGAGTGTGCGCGGCGATAAAGCGAGAGTCACATTTTGAAAGCCACCCGCCTTCCATCCGTACAACCCTTGCAACTTCTTAAAACGAATGTGCGCAATGCTACAGCGGTGACCTAATTTTGAAAACGAGCCGCCCTCAACCCGTGCAACTCTCGCAACTGTTGGAAACGAATGTGCGCGGCGCCAAGGCGAGAACCACATTTGAAAACTACCCGCCCTGAATCCGTGAAACTGCTGCCAAATGTTTAGAACGAATGCGCGCGGCGCTAAGGCGAGCAACACGTGACACCCTTGCAATTGTTGAGCATGAGTGTGCGCGGCGCTGAGGCGAGAGCCACATTTTGAAAGCCACCCGCCCTCCATTTGCGAAGCCCTTGCAACTTTTGGAATACGAATGTGCGCGGCGCTGAGGCGATAACCACATTCTGAAAACGATCCGCCCTCGATCCGTGAATCTCTTGCAGATGTTAAATAAAAACGAACGTGCGCGGCGCTAGGACGATAACCACATTTTGAAAACCACCTGCCCTCAATCCGTGAAACGGTCGTCAAATGTTTAGCTCCAGGGTCATAAATGGTGGGGGAGTCTGAGGCGAAACGCCTGGCACGCCCTGTCGACCAGGCTCGTGGCGCGACATGGAGGAGTCATCTACGAGGAAAACGGACGGAGGATGCTGATGATGAGGAGGAGGAGCAAGAGAAGGGGCAGGAAGGAGGAGGAGGAGGAGCAGCAGGGAGGAGGAGGAGGAGGAGGAGGAGGAGCAGAGAAGGAGGAGGAGGAGGAGCAGGGAGGAGGAGGAGGAGGAGGAGCAGCAGGGAGGAGGAGGATAAGCAGAGAGGAGGAGGAGGAGGAGAAGCAGAGAGGAGGAGGAGAGGAGGAGGAGGAGGAGGAGGGAGAGGAGGAGGAGGAGGAGGAGGGAGGAGGAGGAGGAGGAGGAGGAGGAGGAGGAGGAGGAGGAGCAGGGAGGAGGAGGAGGAGGAGGAGGAGCACCGGAGTAAACCCACTGTGCACCAACGATGTTGCAATGCGCCCGCCCGCCCCACAAGCCTCCTCCTCCTGCACTGCTGCAGGCGCCCCCCTTGAAAGACGAGCGCCCCGCGGCCGTGCCATTCTGGAGAGGGCCCCGTCTTCGAGGGGCTGCCAGCCCTGGCCATCGCTCGGACGTCCATTCTCTGTGTTTTTTTTCTGTTTCGTGCGTGGCTTTTTCGCCAAATGATCAAGGATGCTCCTCGATGGTCCTCGCCGAAGGAAAAATGCACACGTCCGAGCGATGCCAAGGTCAAAGGAAGCGTCCAGCGAGAGCCCCGACCTGAAACAGAGAACCGCCCCCAAACGACTTGCTCCAGCAACGCCTGGCAGACAAACACGAAGGACAACGTCAACCAGAGCCCCGAGTTTAACCATCCTCGAACGTATCCCTATCCCTAAGATGGGCAAGCAAAAAGCGAGGACAATATTAGGGATAGGCCCTCAGAAACGGAGGGAATCCTTAAGATCGGCATCGAAGTGAGGTGATGCCAAACATAGGGATAGGAATATGCTCCAGGCTGGTAAGATTTGGAACGAAGCCGCACTCCACCCGTGTAACGGGAGCGCAGTTCTGTAGACATGGACATATGAGCATCGACAACGCCCCCACGAACAAATCTTTCTTGGAGATGAGCCGCCCTGCGCCCGTGCAGCTGTTGGAAGCTTTGGAAGCGAACCTGCACGGAGCGGACGAGACTTCTTGACGACGGCCCTGCTCCGCTCGTGTAGCTGCTGGGAGTTTTGGGAACGAATGTGTGCGGCAACGAAGCGAGAACCACATTTCGAAACGGAACCGCCATCCACCCGCGTACCCGCTGGACACTTAAAGGACGAATGTGCGTGGCGCTACGGCGCGAGATGCATGTTGATGAGGAGCCGTTCCCTACCGTGTCACACTTGGAGAAGTGTAAGACGAATGTGCGCGGCGATGAGCCGAGGGGCACGTTTAAACAACTACACCCCTCCAACCGAATAACATCTGGACGCTTTTCAGACAAACGTGCGCGGTGATCATACGAGATTCGCATGTTGAAAAAGGAACCGCCATCCACCCGTGTAACTGCTGGAAGCATGTGGGACGAATGCGTGAGACACTAAGGCGGGAACCGCACCTTGAAAACGACACCCCTTCCGTCCGCGTGCATGCGAAGAACTTGCAAGGCGTATGAGCGAGGCACTAAGGCGAGACCCAAATTTTGAAAACGCTTCCTCTCGATCCCTGTAGCTGCTGGCAACTTGTCAGACGAATATGTGTGGCTCTGGGGGGGGGCGCACACGAACCCCCCTGTAACAGAGTAACTATTGGAAGCTTGGGTCAACGAATATGCGCAACGCTACGGCGACAACCGCATTTTCAAAACGAGACCCTCCGTCAGCGTAGCTGCTGGGACCTTTTAAAACGAATGTGCACGGTGCTATGGCGAGAGAACTTTACTGACACGGAACCGCCCTCCACCCGCGTAACTGCTTGACACTTGCAATGCGAACATGCGAGGCACTAAGGCGAGATACGCGATTTAAGAATTAACTGCTCTTCACCCGTTTAGCTGCTAGAAGCTTGTAAAGCACATGTGCGCGGCGCTAAGGCGGGGACCACGTTAATTGAACCACGCCCCCCTCACTCCGTGACGTGTTGTGGACGAACGTGCGCGGTGCTGAAAGGAGAACGAACTGTTGGAACGCCCGCCCTGCATCCGCGTAGCTGCCCACCGCTTGTAGAACCTATGTGCGCGGCGCTAAAGCGAGAGCCACAGGTGACCATCCTCCTCCCGTTGGTGCAATTGCTGGTAATTCTTATCTTCGTGGTCACGAGCGGGGAAGAAATCCAAGACGAAACGCTCGGCAGGCCCTCCCGACGCGTCTGGTGGCCAGGCGGGGAGGAGCTATCCAGAAGAAGCACAGATGGAGGAGGATGGGAGGCACGGCGAGGCAAGGTACGGCAACTCAGACCAGTCGGAGGGCGTGTGCTGGTGGTTCGAACACCCTGTGCCCCCCCCATCGCGGAGGAAGAGGAATCAGGAAGATAGACGAGGGACGCGGCCTGGAAGGCTTTGGGGGCGGTCTTCAAGTTTCCAGGGTGCGGGGGCTGGGGGCGGAATGGGGGGGGAGAAGGAGATGGACACCTCATCCCATCCTTCTCCCACCTGCACCCTGCATCATCCATCCTGGATACTCCTTCCTCCGTCCTCGATCGTCGAGCCTCTATCCTCCGTCTTCGCCCTCCTCCTCCTCCTTGCGCAGGTCGCCCATTCCTGCTCAGCCTCACCCTCCTTCTCCACCACCTCCCCCTCCGCATGCTTCTCCTAATTACTCCGCGACCTCCGGCTCCACTGCCAATACAAGCTCCGATGGAGACCCTGGGACGAATCAAACACACAGTTCGAAACAATGCACGCACCTGCCATGTCACCTCCGTCACGGGTCAAGCCGGGAAAGGCGTCGCGACGAGACTCCCCCCCCCTTCTGTCGCCTTCTGCTCTGCCCTCCTCCAGGGCTCTTGCCAGAGGCGCGCTGGCCTGCCCCCCCCCCCTCCTCCTCCTCCTCCTCCTCCTCCTCTCCTCCTCCTCCTCCTCCTCCTCCTCCTCCTCCTCCTCCTCCTCCTCCTCCTCCTCCTCCTCCTCCTCCTCCTCCGCCCCATCCTAGACCCCAGTGGGGGAAACGCCCGCGACGGGGGGTGCGCGACACAGAACGAAGGCTAGTGCAAACGCTGTGCTTCGACAAACTGGGGGCGCACGGCTGTAGGAGCCGTGTGGGGAAGCCCTGAGAGCTCGGAGCGGCCGCAGCGAAGTCGGGAACCACAAGCGGGCAGCGTGTGCGATCAGACTTGGTGTCCCCGCGAGTTGGGGGAGAGCCGCCCCGAAAGATCGATGCACATGCCGAGCAACAGCTCTGGGCAGCAAGCCGCAACTGACAAGCATGATAGCGTGCGGACTAGCAGCGCCTCGCTGCTCTCCAATATGTGGCATCCGTTCGAAACTATGCAGATTAATGGACATGTGTCAGGCGGCCGTCGCCACCTTCGCCCGCCAACGTACACGTTAAGCACGTGCGCCCGCACCAGCTTGCCACGCTGTACCCACAACGCCGGCAGAACAACGAATCGTGAACATCGGCCAGGACTCGTGGCCCGACGCATGCGACCCGACACAACACGTGACCGCTGCTGCGCAACTCGGCCCACATGTGGTCGTAATTTCCATCGTGTATCTCTCCCCACACGCAAACGAGACGATACTCTGGTGCCAGGGCGAAGTGTCGGCCGTCCGACTCGGCCGAGGAAGACGAGCGAGCGAGAGAAGTGTTTGCCCCCGCCGCACCAGCGTGGCTCCGTAGACCAGCCAGGCAAAGAACGGGAGCCTGGCCTCACACCTTCCCCCCGCCACCACGCTCGCTCTCGACTCGCTTTTGTGTGTGTCTCTCTCTCTCTCACTTTCTTTTTCTAATGCCCTGCCGCTCTCCACTGACATGCTCGTATGCGACGCTGAGATTCCGAGCTGCCCACGGGTACATTGCAGTTGGATGCCCGCCCAACCTCGTCCTCCTCCTCCGCCTCCTTCTCCTCCTGTTGCTCCTCCTCCTCCTATCCCTCTCTCTCTTGCTCCCTCCCTCCCTCCCTCCCTCGCTCCTCCCTCACCTTCCGCCCTCCCCCCCTCACCACCCATCCTTTCTCTGAATCCCCCTTCTTCCCTTGCCCCTCCCCCTCCTTCTGCACCTCCTTCTGCTCCTCCCGCTGCGCCTCCTGCTTCTCCTTCTCGTGCGCCTGCTCCTTCTGTACCTTGTCACTGCTGCTGCCGCTGGTCTTCCTGGAGCGCTTCGTCATTTTGCCACCCCTCACCCTCCTCATCGTGGGGGCAGCGCTCAGAAACGCTTGCGAGAAAGGCCTGTCAAAGATCTCGTATGGTTGCTGCACGCCTTCCTGCCTTTTCAGGGGCCCTTTGGTAACGACTTCTCTGCACCACCATCACCCCGTCCCCTCCCCTCCCTCCCTTTCCTCCCCTCTTCCTTCCCATCTTCCCTTTCCTCTCACCCTCCACACCCCGCCCCCTCCGTTTCGCTCGCGCTCTTGGGCCCCACGACAGTCAACATAAAACGAACCCGTACGAAGAAACTGTCCCTCCTCCCGCCGTTTCTTAAGCGTCTTGATGCTCCGGCTCGGGGCCTCTGAAAAAGCAGCTGATGCCTCGGAAGCCAGACAAGCTAGCCGAGGGCATCCAACATCCTTTGAAACATTTTGCTCTACTGCAACATTCCTGGGAGCGTTCTGGACAAAGGCCCAGAACGCTTTCAAAACACCACCTAGACCCGAACAACAACCCGACTGCTGCAGCGCAGCCCTAAACATGCAATGGACGACCAAGTTTGACTTTGCAGGACAGAGTGTGGCTTCCCCGCCTTGCCAGTCCTGGTCAGTCTTTGCCCTGGTCTCGGGGGCCTGAAAGCGCCTCGCCGTTCTCCTGGCGGATAGTGATCGTGCTCCTGCCTTCTGCTCCTGCCCGCCTCTCGGGTGCTGCCCAAAGGTGTCCCTGGCCTGACGTGACCATGGCCTTTCCAGGGCGGCCCAGACGGCCTCCAAAGCACCCCTCACGAGGCCCTCTGGACCCGAGGGGCCCCAAAATGGCAAGAACAGCTGGAAGCACCTTGGGCCAGGACGACCTTTGGCAACCCTCGAACCTGTCCCTGTTTCCCCCCCCCCCCGCCTATGGTGGTCCAGGAAGAGGGCCGGAACAACAATAATCAAAAGCCACCAAGCAAAATGGTGGCGGATCAACATCCAGAAGAAACCACCGTACCCGCCCATGTTGACCTGAGCGTGGCAAGAGCGCGAGGAAGCAAATCAGAAAGCCAGTTCGCGCTGTTGCCCATTACTTCTGCCTCGTCGGATAGCGCTCCTTGTTCTTTAGGTCATCCTTTGAGATGTAGGGCAGGGAAGGAGGGGGGAAGGGTCTGGTGCAATAGTGGTAGGATGGAATGAGGAGAAGCGACAACCACACGCAACAACTGTTCGCAGGAAAGTCTTGTCATCATGTACTAGACGGAGGTAACCAACCGAATCAAAGTCAAGCCACGCAGAGCTGAGCTTACACTGTATACGATCAACAACTAACTCTGGATATACACGTATATGTTTCAAGCTACGCTGCGCAAGTGACATGTAACTGGGATGCCACATGCACACGTCAAGACTGTCAACGGGTCGCCAGGCGGGATATTCCACTTGTGTAGCTGATGATATCTGGACGATTGCTTCTTTACGAGCAACGCGCGCTCTTGTTGCAACCCCAGCCGTAGAACAACGCGACATGGCAGCTTACCTTGTGACACTGCAATGTTAGGTGAGACGATGCTATATGTATTACGCATCGCAGCGGACAACATACCTTTCTCGCGCACCCCGCACAATACTGCAATCAATATACGCACATACTACGTACTACACGTGTGCTTCCTTGGGTATGGCTACAACTGAGTGCGTTGCATTGCGTTGCGGTGTCGTGCGCTCGGTGCGGGACTGCGCTACACTTGTCGATCCTGTACTTAGTTTCAGAACGTTAGGGAACGTGCAGGGAGTCTTGCACATCTAACACTCCATTGTGTGGCACGCTGCGTGAAATTAGGGCTGACCAGCTCTGCTCTGATTGGGCCATCGGTCTGTAACTCTTCTCGCATGCTTCCATCATCCTTCGTACTAGTTCCATTCCTGCTTTCCTCTCCTAGTATTCCGTCCATCCATGTCCTTGTTCATAGCACTTCTTTCCTGTCTTACCCCCTTCACTCTCATCTTCCCTTCTCTCTTCTCTGGTCACTGTTCTTGTCGGCCCTCAATAACCAGTCGCTCACATTCCTGCACATCTCGGGGTCCAGCGGGGTGCGCTTTTCCGCGGGCAGAAACATTGTACTCACCCCTGGGTGCTGCGAAACGCTCAACTGTCGCATCTTTTCTGCGTTCTGGGGGTCCAGCGGGGCGCGGCCTTGCACGGACCACGTAATTGTCCTCGCCCCTGGGTGCCGCCCAACACACAACGGTCGCCACTTTCCTGCACCCCTTGGGGGTCTGACAGGGCGCGGCCTTACGCGGGCCCGCAAAACTCGGCCTCGTACTCCATGGGTGCTGCCAGGCGCTCTCCATCGACACCTCTCTTCCTGCGCCCCTGGAGGTCTGGCGGAGCGCGGCCTTGCGCGTGCCGCTCGCCTCCCCAACCCCCCCCTGGGTCCTGCCAAACGCACCGCTGCCGCCACTCCCCTACGCCAGTGTGGGGTCCAGCTGGACGCGGTCTCATGCAGGCCCACGCCTTATCTTCGCCTCCACTGGGTGCTGCCGAGCACACAGCCGTTGCCCCCTTGCTTAGCCCCTCGGGCGTCCAGCAGGGTGCGGCCTGACGCAGGTGCGGGTGCTGCTGCACGTACAGCTGTCTCCGCGTATTCCTCCTGCCAGTGCGAGGTCCAGCGGGACAAGGTCTTACGCGGGCCCAGGAAGACCCAACACACAACAGTCGCCATTGTTCGACGGTCCTCAAAAGGTCCAGCGGGGCGTGACGTTGCGCGAAAGCAAATACCACCCTCGTCCCCCATGGTGCGGCCCAGCGCAGGATTGCCTCAACTTGTCTGCCCCCTTTTACCGGGGCGTGGCCTTCTGCGAGACGAGTTGTCACTTTCGCCGTGGGGTGTGCCTGGCGTACACTGCTGCTACTCTCCTGCGCCCGTGGGTGGTCTGGCGGGATACGCTCTTATGCGGGCCCCGTATAATACTCCCCCTCGGGTGCTGCCTTTTTTTCGGTCGTGGTGCTGGCGGTCGCTCAGCGCGGGCTGCGCAACGTCAAATTGGCACCAACATTGCGGGAAGACAGGAAAACGGCCGCGGAGGGGGGGCTGAAAGTGGGCGAGGGTTCAGGACGTGAAATTCTTGGAGCTGGTGCTTTAGTCCGGGCTCTGGGTAGGAGTCGTGCCAAGGTGCGGCCCAGGTGCTGCTCAGTGCGGAACTGCCAAGGCGCAGGGAACAAGATGCATGAAGCGAGGCTGAGGTGTCTGCGCGCGTGGGCTGGTGGGTAAACTTCAGCAGCAGAAGGAGGACGAGGTCTGGGTGATTGTTTCACCCCACGCTGAGCGACAGGCCGCGCTGAGTTTCTCTCCCCTCGCCCAGCGGCCTGGGACCGGCAGGTCTCCCATGACGGCGCACACGCCAGTACGCCAGGTGCTGCCAAACACAGATGCCGCCACTTTCCTGCGCCGCTAGAGGTCCAGCGGCGTGCGGTCTTACGCGGGCCAGGTTATGATTCTCGCCCTCCTGGGTGCTGCCAGACGTGCAATTGCCGCCCTCTCTCTTGAGTACCTGGTGGTCAAACTGAATCGACTAACCGCCAAACGTACAACTGCCGCTCTTCTCCTGCACTCCAGGGAAGCCCGAAGTGCCCTGCTATTAAGCTCATTCCCCTGGGCCGTGGGTGCTATCAACAGGCTGCCACCGCCACTTCCCTGCGTCCTTGGGGGCCAACTGGACTCTGCGTCACGTGGTGCTGTTAAGCATACTGGGTGGGGTAGGCACGTCCATGTGTACGTTAGAACCTGTCAGCACTGCGTCACATGATACAGCTCTGCGCCGCCGCAAGTGCTACACGATGCCGAAGCGTTCGGCATCAGAAGTCTTTTGGTACCATAGAAACAACAAAGCACCTACCCCCGGAGCCCCAGAGGCGCCACAAACGACTCCAAGAGGGGCTCAGTAGCATCTCACGAGGGAAACATCGAACTGCCCTTCGGAACCTTCCCCCCTCCCAAGGTAGGCCGAATAGGCCCCCTCGAGGCGTCCAAGAAGCCCCCAAGAGGCCCCCATGAAGTCAACAAGAGACCCCCGAGATGCATCCCACGAGACCCGAGTGCACGAAGTGCTGCGTATCACTCGGTGGCCCGACTCTGAACACACCACCATCACACCACCTGGCATCGCGCTGCAGCACCTCGCGTGGAGCACACGCTCGCAAGCCGACTCGCGCAGAGACGATGGCGAGCGACATGCGCACAGGTGGCCCACGTGCTGCCGATCCGCCGCGCGGCTAGGGCGCCTGCACAGAGCTCGTCCATGAAGGCCTCGGAAGACACGGACCTGCATGCTCTCGGCTCCCACAGGCCGTCCGGCATCGAGGCAGGCCGGCTGGGCTCGCGCCCGGCCCGGGCGGGGGAAAATGGGGTACGGCGGCCCGTGGCGCTGCCACTGTGCGGCGCGGCGTGGCACGAACCGGCGGCGGCGGGGGGGGGGCCGTCCTCCCCCCCGACGCCGCCCCTGCCAGCGGGGCCAGGATCCCGAGCCACATTGGCTGCGGCGTGTGTGTGCAGCGGCGGTGGGGCTGCAGCCTGCCGCTGCTGCTGCAGCATCGCCTCATCCTGCTGCTCTTCCTGCTCATCCTGCCGCTCCTCCTCCTCCTCCTCCTCCTCCTCCTCCTCCTCCTCCTCCTCCTCCCAATCCACTTCTTCCTGCGCCTTCCCCCCTGCCCCTTCTCCTCCTGCTCCTCCTCGTCGTCCTCCTCCTGCTCCTCCCGCTGCCTCCTCGTCCTGATCGCTGCAAGTTCATCGTATTCGTCCTCCTCATGTCTGATCTACGTACTGCTCATTCCCTTCATGCGCCTCATCCAAGTTTGCTTCGCCTATTCGTTTTCCTTCTCACTCCATCCTGCTCCTAATTCTGGGCGATCGCTAATTACATGCTCCTCATATTCGTCCTCCTCCTCCTTCTCCTGTAGCCACCCTCCCCCTCATCAACCTCATCACCACCATCATCACCACCATCACCATCACCATCAGCATTACCATCACCATCACCATCACCATCACCATCACCATCACCATCATCATCATCATCATCATCATCATCATCATCATCATCATCATCATCATCATCAGCATTACCATCGTCACCATCATCAGCACCGTCAGCATCATCAGCATTACCATCATCAAGATTATCAATCCACTCATCGTCGTCGTCATCATCACCATCATCATCACCATCATCATCATCATCATCATCATCATCATCATCACCACCACCACCACCACCACCACCACCACCACCACCATCATCATCATCATCATCATCATCATCATCATCATCATCATCATCATCATCATCATCATCATCATCATCATCATTTTCATCATCATTTTCATCATCATCATCATCATCATCATCATCATCATCATTAGCATCATCATCACCATCACCATCATCATCATCACCAATTTCAGCATCGTCGTCGTCACCATCCCCACCATCTTCATCAACATCATCAGCAGCAGCAGGGTCACCGACATCAACAGACTCATCAACACTACCATCACCATCACCATCATCGCCATGACCACCATCACCAGCAGCAGCAACATGATCATTACCACGAACATCATCATTATCACGCTCACCATCATCATCTCGTCAACATCGTGCTGGGTCCTCGATCTCTTCTCCTCCTCGATCCTTGATTTGAGGGCCAACGTTCTCAGTCTCCGTCGCGTCGTGAACGAATTACGACGACAAGCTTCTGGCCTCTGGGGCCCCTGCCTCTCCGTGACCATCAACAGAACGACTCAGGGTGAGAAAGCCGGTCTCGGGGAATGACGTCGAGACATGCAATCCACACGCTGTGCAAATTAGCCTGGCTAAGAACCCCGACCACATGCAATTGTGAGCACTGGGCGGGCGCAACCACTGGAGCCTTAGATGGAGCTCCACATGGGGCCGCGAAGCGCGTGATGGGGTGCACCAGCATGGTGTGGACAAGGCATGCGGGCCCTGGCCCTGGAGCCTTAGGTGGAGCTCTCTATGGTGTCGCGAAAGGTGTGAGGCCTGCGCCGAAATCGTATAGACAAAGCATGCTGGCCCTGGCACTGGGGCTTGAGGTGGAGCTCCCTGTGGGGGCACGGAACGTGTGAAGGGTGCGCCGCAATGGTGCGGACAAGGCATGCGGGCGCAACCACTGGTGCCGCCTTAGGTGGAGCTATCTATGGGGCCACGAAGCGCTTGAGGGGTGCGCCGAAATGGTGTGGAGAAGGCATGCGTGCCCTGGCCCTGGGGCCTTAGGTGGAGCTCCCGAATAATGAGGTCGCGAAACGTGTGAGGGGTGTTCCAACGATGAGGACGATGATGATGATGATGCTGATGATGCTGCTGCTGCTGATGATGATGACGATGATGATGATGATGATGATGATGATGATGATGATGATGATGATGATGATGATGATGATGATGATGATGATGATGATGATGATGAGAGAGGAGTAGGAGGAGGAGGAAAAGGAGGCGAAGGAGGATGATGACGCTGATGGTGATGACGATGAGGATGATCATGATCATGATCATGCTAATGATCATGGTATTGATGATGATGCTGATTATGATGATAATGATGTTGATGCTGATGCTGTTGATGATGACGACGATGACCATGACGATGACGATGATGATGATGCTGGTGATGATGATGATGATGCTGATGATGTTGATGCTGATGATGATGCTGATGATGATGATGATGATGATGATGATGATGATGATGATGATGATGCTGGCGATGATGATTAATCAAGACGACGACCCAACACCATATGATCATTGGGACAAAAGCACGACGTCAGCGTCTCGACGTCATTTTGTTTTCGCAGCGTGGGCTCCTGGAGGTCCTGACCCTTTCCCGGGAACCCGCTTTTCATCCCGAGTCGTTTTCTGACGCTCCCTGGGGCCTAGTAAGGTCCCCTGGAAGCCTAAAAGAACATCAAATCATCGGTTGTGATTTTTCACGGCGCGAGGATGTCTACGACGACGATGCCGACAGCGACCTTCGAACTTCGATCCTCGACGACGACGACGACGGCGACGAAAGAGCTCCCATCAGAATCCCCATAAACCCTCGGTTTCAATTCTTCCGCGACGCGCGGGGCTCTGGGCCAAGGCCTCCGGCCCAGCCCTTCGGCACGCCCGAAATGGGTGCGGACAGACATGGGCGAGCCGACAGCGGCCGCTGCTGGGCGGGGCCACTCTCGGGACGGACGAGAGGTGGGGCGGCAACGGAGGGTTCGCGAATCGGCTCACGCAGCTGGCTTCCCTGGTGCCTCCCAGCGCCAGGGGCGTCGATTTATCGAGGCGTGCGCTCGGCGGCGGGGGCGAAGCCAACTGCTTGCAGATCTTGTGACCCTCTCTGTCCCCAGGATGACGCCCGCGGCGACGCCGACAGCGAGCCCTGTTCAGAGCGGGTAGAAGCTACGGTCGACCCGTATCACAAGGATGCACGATGAGGATGCCAGGGCCTCGCAAGGCAGTCTCGAAGCTTTTCGAGAGGGGCGCGGCCAACGAACCAAATGACCAAGGATTGGCTTACAGTGCGGGCGCGGCCGCAAGAAACCCTCGCAAGAAACCCAACCCCGAGAGCCCGTGCGCGAGGTGCACCTGAGGGGGAAACCCGGAGCACCCTGAACGCAGCAGCTCCTCCCACGGCTGCGGGAGGCCACCGCGCAGCGCGAGGAGCGAAGACACCCAGGCTACCCTGACGCTGGCCATCGCTCGGACGTCCATTCTCTGCGTTTTTTTCTGTTTCGTGCGTGGCTTTTCCGCCAATGATCAAGGATGCTCCTCGATGGTCCTCGCCGAAGGAAAACTGCACACGTCCGAGCGATGCCAAGGGGGGAGGGCTGGCTCGGGAGGGGAAGCCTCGGCCTGGCATCGGCGCTGCACCGCCGATGATGGATCGGCGACGGGCCCCCCGAGAGCGAAGCTTGCACACTCCTGAGCGGGCTGGGCCATCGGGCCCCTATCGGCGACGAATGGGCGACTGGGGGCTGGTGCTAGAAGATAGAAGAAGAGAACACGGCATCCACATAAACTTCTGGCGCTCCCAGCGGAGAGCCCAAAGCTTATGGCTATTATGGATGTTTGTTCTTCTTCGAGGCAGGCCCCCAAAAGCGAAGCCGCACGCTCCTGTGCGGGGTGGGCTCCCTATCGGCGACGAGTGGGCGATTGGGGGTGGGTGCATCCCCTCGATCCGCGCCCCGGATAAGCGGGGCCACAGCCGATGGGGTCGGGAGATCGCACCGCGTCGCCCAGGCACCGGCGACGGCGTGCACAGAGGCGGCAGCTGTGCCGGCCGGACTTCACCTCCTCCTCGGAGACAGCAGACTGCATGCCGTCTCCACACCGGCGTGCTAACGCACAGGGCACAGAGGAACGAAGCAGCCATCCGCCGAAATCGTACGCAGGCCGCCCGCGCAGCTTTGCGGAGAAGGTCCCGCCCGCCCACTCGCCCACGTGGCCCCGCCGCGCCAGGTGCGTGCCGCAGATCGTGCAAGAGAGAGCCGTGCGAGCACGGATGTGGGGCGCAACGGGGCCAGCGCCACGACATCGAGGGCGCCACCACTGGATGCCCAGCTCCAGGGGACGCCTCGCCTCTCCTTGTTCCTCCACTCGTCGTCGTCGTCCTCCTCCTCCTCCTCCTCCTCCTCCTCCTCCTCCACTCGTCGTTCTCCTCCTCCTCCTCCTCCTCCTCCTCCTCCTCCTCCTCCTCCTCCTCCTCCTCCACTCGTCCTCCATCCGCCGCCGCAGCAGCCAGCGGCAGCGGGCGGAGGCCCCCACCCCCTCGGGGCCTCTTCGGCTCCCTGGCGGGGCGGGCGCTGGGCTTCGGGGGAGGGGGTGCACCAGAAGGCTCGGCACGGCCACGGTGACGATGGTGAAGAGGCTCAGGTTCGAGGCGCTCCTGGGCGGGGGGTCGGCGGGGCGGGGGCGGGAACAGGAACGGGAACAGGCTACACCACGTGGTAGCCAAGGATCGGTTAAGGTTGGCCCCGACGCAAACGCTCAGCCTTGCTGGGCTGCTTCGGCCAGAGCCCCTGCTCGAGACGAGACGAATGCCCGAGCCTGTGGGGAGCCACCCTATGAACACATGGTTCCGACAGATCACGCATAGAATGATGAGCATAGAAGCCACATAGTTAAAACCACCATACGGGCTGAGCGGAGGGGTGGGGAGGGGGTGGGGGGAGAGGAAGGCAGTTCATCGCTGGCTCACGGGCCACCAGTCAAACCCAATCGCTGGACGTCATAGCCGCCGACGCCCTGGCTGGGAGGGGAGGAAGAGGGAGGGGGGAGAGCATGCAGGAGGGGGGTGCAGGGAGAGGGGGGAGGTGGCGGAGGAAGGGTGGAAGGGGTGGTGGAGAGGGAGGGGGATGGCGGAGGAGGAGAGGAAGATGAGGGATGCCCCGCCAGCGCCCCCTCTCGAGTCGAGCGTGGGTGTTCTTCTACACGGGCAGATCT